CCTCCCTCCCCTAAGCCAAGGGTGACCTGCCTCATTGCCCTCCTGGCAACAGCAACCTTCACTCGGGGGGGCAGGGGGGCTCGGCCAAGATGGTGGAGTAGCAGGACTCCTAGTTCACCCTCTCCCACAAACAGAGCAAAATCTGCACCCATATACAGAGAAAAATCACAGAATATCTACTGAACTTTGGCAGAATATCTGTTACATCGGTAATACTTCACTAAATTGGTGTGAAGAAGAAAAGAAAAAGGAAATCATTGGGGCACCAACAAAGGATGACAAGTGCCCTCCCTCGGGAGGCCCCGTCTCCAGCAGGGAGGTCAGCCGGGGCCGAAAGGGAGCTTCAGAGACTTGGAGAAGAAGCGGCAGCCACCTGGCAGACGGAACTGAGAAGAACCAGCGCAGAGGGTCCCTGCCGTACCTCGCCCGCGATGGGAGCCAGCGGGGCGGCCCGGGACTGGCTGCCGGAGCTCATGCTTTGCAGCAGAGCCTGGAGAGGACAAGGGCCGCCTGTATAGAGACAGTCTGCAGCGGCTGGAGTGTGGTGCAGCCTGATGCTCAGAGAGAGCACAGGTCAGCCTGCGTTCCTCTACGGAGGGCAGCCCTGCTGGTACAGGTGGGAGGAGTGGCTCAGCAGAGGTGGCCAGAGCAGCTACGTCCACCAGCCCAGCGAGCGCTGCTCAGTACCATTGTTGGGAGAGGCAGGGCTCCGGCGGCCTGCTCTCGTGGGACGCAGTCACCGGTGCAGAGCTCCCAGGCAGAGGTGCGGCTGACACCTGTATCCTTACCCAGGGGCCCCCCAGCCTCGCCAGTGGAACTAAGATTTGACTATAGCCGCAGGCAGCAGGGGTGGATTTGCTCCACTGGTGCCTTGTTGACCTGCACCTCAGGTCCCGCGTTAACAGCAAGCCCGTGTACCACACGCAGATGTGGGGCTGCGGTCTGGGCTGACCCTGTGCAGGTGGTGGATCCAGCTGTGTGACTGCTTGCACACTGCAGTGGATCCTAGTGCCTGACATCGGCACATCTACACTGGTGGCCCTGCGGGCACAGACCCTGGGGACACCAGAGCAGGTTACCGACATTTCCAAGGGCAGCGTCAACAAAGTGTGCTTGGCTGCCCACATAACAAGTGACAGACAGCACCCCAGAGGGCACTTCCTGGTGGACGTCTGCTATGGAGGACTGCTCAGCACTCCTCGTCCAGGGAAGCGGTCCTGTCCCACCTACCACATCCTGCAGCTCAGAAACGGGTCTGGAAAAATCTGTTCCAACAACAGGGGAGCAGGTCCGGCACCTGCCCAGCCTGTGACAGCAACAGCACAAAGAGGAAGTGCTGCCCAGCAGCCAGGCAGCCTGTTCACCGCACCAAGCACCCCGCGTCAGGGTGGCAGCCAGCACACAGGGAGGGAGGGCGTGGCAGCCACCCATGCTAAAGACAGCCCTCAACACAAAATTATTAGACGTGCACAGTCTGCTTGGGCACGCTCCCACTTGAAAAGAGGGAAATTGGAACAAAATGATGCTGGGAAAAGTGATGCTGCAGTGGACACAATGTTTTAAAGTTTGAATAGTCAAATGTTTTTGACATGCAGGTGTTTCATGTGATCGTGTTGTAAACTCTTTTATAATTTCTTTGACACATTTTAAGTCATCTAAGGAAACAGTGTTCCATGGAA